GTCAGTCAGTCAAGTAACTAACTAACTAACTAACTAACTAACTAACTAACTATTCTAACTAATACTTTGGTCCACATTTGCTACTTTTAGACTCAATTATCGACTTACCATCGTCACCACAGTTAATCCTAAGTAAATAGAGCATACATGACCAAATAACCACCATCATATTACAGGGGCAATTAGGGAAAATTTTTTAAATAGTCGTTAGTTGATATATCTCGTATCAAGTTCAGTTACTGAATACACCTCAATATCACATACCACATTATCTATTAGTAGGAGTAAGTTACTAAATTCAAAATCACTACATGTGTCACGCCTCCTATACATCACCGATTATAAAGGAAGTGACATGTGCAAGAACAAAAAGGTGCTTAACTGATAAACTAAGGGTTTTCCGAACGTGGCTAAATTAGTCACTTTGGCCAATTTGCCTATGTTTTTTTCTTAATCATTTCTAGTGGGAAAAGTGCCCTTTGAAGCATTTTAATCCCCAACTTTAGGTTTGAAAACAAGAAGAATACGATTAGGTTTCAAGGTAATTTTGCCACTAAGATAATTATAACGAGAATTACTTTTATTGAAAAAGATCGCGTGAAGACACAACCAAAACAACGATTCATGTTTTATTCGCGTCTAGAAGGGAATAACATGCACGAGATCGAGAAACAACGAAAATATTAAAGGCCCAGGATAGAGGGCATTATTGCTATTCCAATTTGATTTTATGAGAACCAACTGGATGTCAAAACGAACAGAACAGTAAGAAATAGCATGTTATACTTCTTGTCTGCATCAAATAAGTGTGTATACTATCGGTTTTCTGCAGAATTAGAAAATATTGACAATAATAACAATAGCTGTGTTACAACGAACAAAGACGACTAATATCATAGAAAGAGTGTTTGAAGACAAATAAAGGCAGGTCTGTTACAGGTCTGGTATTTTGGGTGGAAACAAACAATAACATGGTGATTTCAGGTTATTTGATTATCCCTGAATCAGGTGACTAAAAATCGATGAAATTGAGATAAGTAGACAAACAAGATTGAACTATGAAGAATAAACATTAGTACGGAATGGGTGAAGTGAGATCAATAAGAGGATTTATGGTTAGGAGATAGTGATTGATAAAGATGAATAGATTTTTGGTTATTCCTTGCGTGGAGTGGTAATTTGGCCACCCCTGATGCATGTACCATTTCAGTATTTTGGTATCTATCTTATACGATACGCTCATTATAGAAGTATTCTGTTAGATATTATGCTGATCATATTGCCCAAATCATAAAAATTAAAGAAGTATAGAAGATGTCAGCCTTCACCACTACTTTTTTTCTAAGGTTATTCACTGATTCTCTACTATCTTCGTGATTCTCCCTATCTTTTCCTCAATAATATTACTACCACTGTTAATATTATCATAATCCCCACAATAACCGACACAACAATCAGTATTATTTTGGTTTTCTTTGGTTCCTCTTTTTTTACTGTGACTTGCTTTGTAGGGTCTTTTTTGGCTGTGTCTTGTTCTGTGGAGTCCTGCTTTGATTCTTCCACATTTGTTTCTTCTTTCTGAGTTGAACCGCTCTTTAATTCTTCTTTCATTACACCTGTTGTTTCTTTGGCTCTTTCTGTCACATATTCTTCCAGGTCTTGTATTGTTTGTTCTTCACTGTTTATTCTTTTTACCTTAATTATTTCGGACTTCATCCGTTTATCTCCGATTGTAAATACAAAATATTCGTAAGCAGTGGCAACGTTCACACCTTTTCCACATTCAAATTTTAATGCGCATGGCATTTGCAGGACATGCTTTTTCAGTTTTTCTAACTTTTCTTCACCTTTTAACTTGCAATCACTTCCCATTTTGGTTATTTCCTTTATTATTTCTTCACATAGTAAATGCTTCAAGAAATAACCCTCTGCCTTTGATATTTCTGCTTTCTTTTTTAGTTCTTTTATTGTTGCCCTTAAATCATCTTCAGTTACCTTATCGTTCATGTAAGAGTCCATCATGTTGTTCTTGGACTCTTTTTCATTCGGGTTGCAGTTTGTCACTAAATCAACAATACTGTGATGTATCTCATCTCTCGATGTATTAGCATCATAAAGTATAAAGTATTCACTGCGTGTACAACTATCACCATTCTCTATGCATACCATCTTAACTTTTGTTTTACCATTACCCCACGTAACATCAGGAAATAACAACAGATTCTCTAGATATTTTTTGGGGGGTTTCATTGTTTTAGCATTCTTCAATCTATCATATTTAGCCTTGATTCGTTTATACTCCTTATCTTCATCACACTTGATCCCAAGTAAATAGAACAACCATGACCAAACAACTAACATCCTATATTACAGGGGTAATTAAGGGAAATTGTTAATTGATATATCACATATCATAACGAATCATTTTTTGATAATTATTACAAACCACATCATGACTAGGTTGTGTGAGCCTGATATCTTGACTCTATTACATCAACCTGTCAAAGATCAACACAAGATGTATAAATAGAATGGTTTATTAGAACCCTTTGTCAAGTAAATGGTTGCAACGAAAAAGAGTATTCAGGCACAAGAGCAAGATGGCTCAGCAGCAGAACACAACACCAACAAGTGAGATAATGGCATTTAATTAAACAGTACGAAAATATAGATGGCAGCCCTGCAGCAGTTATCACACTTTTTCGTACTGTGGCTCATCGTATGTCTTGACACAGACACGTTTATGATTAGTCGATTTACTCATTGATTGTTCTTGAGGTTTCTCTCTTTTGTATATTATGAACTATTGATCAATACGCATATCAAGACATCAGACATGACGCATTGTCTTCAATCTGATAATTGTATTGAACAGCAACAAAAATATTAGCGTAAATAATCACCGAAACTTTATAACCTTTCAGCTTGATCAATAATCACAGTCATATTTTACTTCAAATTAAATGATATCCGCACATCGTCATTAAAGACACAAAGAAGCGGACTACATATCCATATTCTTTACGTGAGAGTAAATTATTCAGGTTTAATTACATAGTCCAAAACAAACATTATAGTCAAACTCTTCTTAACCTAACAAATACTCTTTATTTCAATCATTTACTTCTTTCTAACGATGTTATATGATTCTTTAGTTACATTTTTATATTTCTTTTTCAATATTACAGCCAACATTGATACTATCTCAAACCCTATTATAATTAATTATAATAACACCGGTCTGTTTTTTTCCTTTGCTTGTTTCTTCTGCCTTCAATTTTTCTTTCCTTACACCTGTCATTTCTTCGGGTATTTCTACCACATATTCTTCCAGATTATGTATTATTTGCTCTTTATTTCTTTTTATTGTTGCCTTAACTATTTCAGACTTCATCCGTTTATTTCCGATCGTAAATACAATATATGTGTAAGCAATGATGTCTGTTTTATCTTCCTCATTAGTTAATACTGTGGTAAATGGCAGTTTTTGGAAATGTTCTTTCACTTTTTCTAGCTTTTGATCTGATGTTAACTTGCACTTATTCCCCATTTTGACTGTTACCTTTATTGCTTCTTCGTATAGTAAACGATTCAGTATAAATCCCTCTGCTTCTGATCTCTCTGCTTGCTCTTTTAATTGTTTTATTGCTGCTTTGAAATCATCTTCTGTTACATTATCACTTGTGAAGAACTTCCCAATGCTATTCTTGTATTGTTCTTCACCTTCCATGTAGGTTGTCAGTAGATTTAAAATCAAACAATTCATTCTTTTTCTCAATGTTTCATCAGTAATTGAAATGTCTTTCCTTGTAATACTGCTATTATTACTATTTGTGCATACTGTTATAATATCAACCATATCGTTGTCCCACGTAACATCAGGATATAACAACATCTTATCATGATACTTCTTAGTGAGGCCAATTATTTTAGCATCCTTCTCCTTGTCATATTCAGCCTTGATTGAAGTGTAAGCCTCGTCTTCATTGCACCGTATCCCAATAAAGGAAAGCATCCAAATAACTAGCACCATATTATATGGGTATATAAGGAAAATACATAAATAGTCGTTAGTTGATCTATCAAATGTCAAGTTGTGTTTGTTAGGTAAATAGCATTTACTGATATTTCATTTGTTATGTTTGACAGTTTCCCTGATATCAATTCAGCTGTCTGACTCTGTTTGTTACAATCTACCAATTCATAATACTTTTCCACTACCTTTATGTTGGATAGGAGTAAGTGATTATTCGTAACATCACTAAAAATGTTACTCCTATCAATCACTAACTATAAAGGAACTGATATTTTGAGAATTGTAAGACGAAATCACTGTTTCAATAAACAGTATATCCAATAGAGTGAAATAGAGAAATTGCTTGTCAGGTTAAAGAGGATTTTGAATCAGTAGAGGAAATAGATAATTAAATGTGCTACGTTTGTCACTAGCTAAGGTAAAATGTTTGTTTATAAACGCAAGTATCAATAATTGAGCTGAATTAACATTTGTGATAATTTATGGCCTAGAAAATCACGTCTCAAACATTCCCATTGACAAGGTTGACACTTTTGCTGATGTTAGTTCAGCTATTCGACTTGTGTCTACGTCAAACACTTCATTGCTCTTAAATATGTCATGTCTACTCCAGTATATTACCCCTGTTATTTTGATCACTTTTCCAAAAAAATGATAAAATGGTGAGAAGTATATTGTAGTATGAATTACAGTTGAATTATCAATAAAAAGCATTTCATTCTGACATGTGATATATCAATTAACGACTATTTAAAAATTTCCCCTAATTGCCCCTGTAATATGATAGTAGTTATTTGGTTATGGATGATTCATTTACTTAGTATCAACTGTGGTAAAGATGCAAATTACCAGAAACTCAAGACTGAATACGATAAGTTACAAACTACTAATACAATGAGCCCTTCAAAGAAATACCGTGATAACACGATAATATTTCCTGATGTTAAATGGGATGATGATATTGATAAAATTGAGTTGGTAGAGATAAAAAGCACTGGTAATGATATAAGCACGACTGATTTGTTAGGATTAAACGATGCACTGAGAAACACGATAAGAGGAAAAATTACCGAGTTTCTGACACCTGACACGAATCCAAATAACTTAAACAAGGATGACATCGTGCACTTCTTTGCTACTGACAGTACAACTGCAATGAAATTCGAAGCAGCAATAACGCAACTAGAGGCATTGATAGAAAAACAAGGAAACGCAAAAACACGATTGATGCATGAAGAAATAGAGAAGGCAATGACCAAAATGGGAAACGATTGCAAGTTATCAGCAAAAGAAAAACGTGAAAGCCTGGACAAACATTTCATGCAATTACCGTATTATTTGTCAATTAATATTGATATCATTAGTAATTTCACTACTTATATGTATGTGGTATTCACAGCTGGGAACAAAACGATGAAGTCGGAGATAATAACACTAACAAGAGACAATAATAAAATACAAACAATACATAACCTGGAAGAGTATGAAGTGAAAATAACGAAAAAGGCAACTACAAAAGTAAAACCACAGAAAAAGAAAGAAGCATCAAAGAAGAAAGAAACAACAAAGAAGAAAGGAGCATCAAAAAAGGGCAAAATGGTACTGACTATCATATGGGCTGTTGCTGGTATAATGCTATTATCAATAGGAATAACAATATTGATGAGGAAAAGGAAAACCAGAGAAGAAGTAGTGGACCTTGAATAACGTGAGAAAGAAATAAATAAGGTAATAAAGAGTTATTATTGCTCTACATATTAATCTTAAGAGAAAAGAAGTGTTTAACCAAAAGGATGTGATGAAATCTGATACAGACTTCTCTATTCAAATAGTTAAGGGTATTTATTCATTAATTTCTCTTATTACATTCCAATGATAGACCTATGGAGTCAGTTGCTCATCTGATAACCGTTACGTGAGATTTAAAACATTCTTAATGTTTTATTAAGGTCAAAACCATCTTATTATGTGATTTGTAGCATAGTAGATCCTTTTTTCTATTAACTTTCAACCACGATGTCTAATACGTCTTATTCTCTCACAAATAACTAGTCATATGAAGGATTACTGTTTGTTTCAAGTCATTATCCCAACTACCTTGTGTCTTATTGGTAAACTAATCCACCACACCCATAAATCACAATAATTCCTGATTATTCATTCTGGTTGTCCTACACACTTGTTTTCAATGAATTTACTACTCTAAACACCAAAACTATTGATTACTAAAAAACAAACAAAAATTGACCAAACAAACACGTATAAACAAACATACAGTGCACTACAGTTCGTTATAATACTGTAATATAATTGATATAGGTATACCACCATCTTTGATCATTTTTGTCTACAATTATCATCCTCATGAATCTAAGTATTCTCTGTATCACCGTATTAATCCAGTTTATCAGAGCAGCAACAAAAGAAAGAGTCAAACCCGTGAACTTGAAGTTGAAGAAGACGTTGAAAACATTCTTATCCAAATTTGCTGACTACAAAAACAAGTCTATGAGTCTATCAGACTGGAATCAAGTTGCAATAAAGTACAATTTGTCTAAAATTCATAGAAGGGGTAATAGAATTATGTATAAGGATAATTCTGGTGCATACGTGGTGAAACTCTCTACTGTTGAGCATGATCCATGTCGAACTGATCCACTGGCATTCGCAAGAAAGAAGATCAATCACCCAAATATTGTGAAACTGCACTGTTGGGCAACTCAGGAAATAACCAGTAAAAGGAAAAAGAGATTCATTTTGGTGGCATCAGTCTATGAGTTGTGTGACGTCATTATTGGTAGTAGGCTGATAAATAATGATGAAAACACAATAAGATCAATTGTACACCAAGTACTACTGGGACTGGACTACTTGCATAGTAAGAAACTGGTTCATCTTGATATCAAACCCGATAATATCATGGGTAAAACGGGTAAAAATGGGAAAATAACGTATAAACTGATTGATTTGGATACAATTGCGGATTTACCACCTGAGGATGATGAAATCTATAGACAGGTGTTCACTAGTGGATATGTTGATCCAGAATATGGTCAAAATAGGATTCTGATTGAATCGGATATTTATCAGTTAGGAATGACAGCATGGGCACTCTCGTACATGAAGAAGGGTGATGAAGAGTGGTGTCGAAACTGGGGGAAGAAGTACAATAAGAAAAGGAAGCAGCACACATTCAAGTCGTTCTCATCAGTAGAATACGGTGAGTTTGTGAAGACATGCACAGATTATGATCCAAAAAGAAGACCAAATTGTAGGGAACTGCTTTTACACCCATTTATTACCGAAACAGGTAATTAGTAGAGTAGAGTAGTAGTAATATTAGTAGAGTGGTAGTAGTAACAATAATGGTAGTAATAATAATAAATGTAGTAATAATAAATGTAGTA